TAAATACTTCCTGGCAGTTTTTGTATTGAGATAAGGCAGGTTTTGGAGTGCCATAAAATGACTCAAAGTTTGAGAGAGCTTTCGTAAAAATCCACACCAAAATTCTGAGGCAAATCAAAGAACATACAGCTCACTGACAAGACTATTGTCACTTCTGTGACTGATATTATAAGTCACAACAGATATTGGATATACTGCCATGCCTTATACGTGAGTGTTAAACGGGGGGCCTCAGTGAAATGTCTCCTGGTGATTTTTAGCAATTTTTCAGGGGATTTTAAAAAGTTTATACTGTTCTTATTCTATGGTAATTTTGATAAATCGGTGCGAAGGCATCGTATCTGCAGAAAATCGCATTACTCTGGTATCAATCGGCTGTTAAAAAAAACTTATAAAAAATAACTCTTAAATTTAAAAATTACCACTCTCAAAAAACCTGTTAAAGTTCTCTTATTAGGAAACCCGTTTTGGCTAATTTTTAAGCAAAATTTACAAGCAGTAAAATTTAGGTAAAGAAAAATGTGATTACTTATATAGAAACTCTTAAAATATCAACGTAGTTTTTCAAAGCTAAAAATGTTTGCAAAATATGTTATAAATCTACAGTGATATTTAGAGGTTTTTCTTTTAACCCTATTTTTCTCTTAAATTTTATTTAAAAAAATAGCCGAAAACTAATTTTAAGAGTTTTTGAAGAATGTTTTAAAAGCAGGTCATTGCTAGTAGGGTAGTTGTTATTTAGATCACTAAAATACCGTTATATCATTTTTCAACAGCATAATTCTCATTATTACAAACATAAACAAATCAGGAAAAACGCGTTTATTGAAAATGTATACGAAACAAAATCCGATGAGTGAATTATTAAATATAATCAATAAACTAATTTGCAAAGAATCAAATTCATTTATAATTCCATTATTATGATGTCAACTGGCAACGCGATATTGGGTGACGTAGGCTAAAGTCCCTCCTGACGTAATATTGTCTCACCGCCGTCTTCACATTTTCGAGCGAGAGTGCTGTTTTAGTAAAGTCCCAAACGACGTTCCATAGTCCTCTGCCCGGGACCTCTACTCGCATGAATAGTGATTCACCACCCATCCGCCGGGAGCGCAGCGTCGCTTCGCGCCAGAATCTCACAACAACAACTCCTCATCATCTGTTTTTCTAACCTCACTGTACATCTCCGTCTCCCCTCTCCCGTGTGTTGCAATTTGGTAAACAAAATAGTTGATTCATGCTTTGTGCATTCAATGTAATCAATGAATCAATCATGTTCGTGAAATATCATTATTATTATAATTGTGTTCAGTACCACGTAAATCAGAACCGCGAAAGATGGAATCTGCCAGGATGCTTAAGCTCATGAACAAAAATCATATTAGCTTTCAATAAAGGTCTAAGCGCTAGCTAGTGTCAGCTTGGATGTCTCATAGTATGTAAGTACCCAAGTAGTCGTCTAATTTTGCAGGATGTATACGGAGTAATTTTGGAGATAATACATTTGAAATCCTAGGTCTCACCTAACTCAAAGCGTTTGCTGATAATACCCGGGAGCGATCCAACTCATTTATTGAAGAATTGACAATTTGCTAGTGGCCCCTCTTCAATCATGAGATTAGTCCAAAGATCTTTTAGGAACTTAAATTAATGACCCAGGTGGTGCTTTGTGCCAACTTTCACACGATCAAACGCCTTTTTGCAAAATCCACAGCCCTTCTCAGTGAGCTCTTTGTGTGATCAAAGAACCCCTCCCTATATGACGCGTAACCCTTCAATTTTGAGTTTAGTCCAAAGATGTTTCAGGAACTTAAATTAATGGCCTAGGTGGTGCTTTTGTGCCAACTTTCAAAGAATTAGAGGCATTTTTTCAAAGTCTACAGTCTGTCCAAGTGAGCTTTCGTGTGATTTTGCTAAGAATCAACTTTGGTCCCTAGCCCCCCAAATTTTAGCGTACCCCAAAATCGTTTAACGTGCACAAGGAGACCATAGATATAGTCTTCTCTGCAAATTTGGAATGAAATTGAACAGATAGATTCTGAGATATGGCTGTACACAGATTTGGGGGACGCCGGACGGACGGACACACATTTTTTCAAGTATGGTTTTTTGACTCCAGGGACCTTAAAACGTCTAGAAATGATGAATTTCAACTCTTCTTTTTTCTTCTTGGAGGGTGACAATACTTCTTCTACCCTAGGGGAGCGAGAAAGTGAAAATATCTTCCTTTCAAGTAAATTAAAAAATTAAGTCTACAGGAGAGGTTTGGGTCACGTATAGTTAGATTAGGTTAATTTTGGTCAGGAAATGTACGGTTAGATTAGGTAGGTAAGTTAAAGTTAGGTAGCATTACGTCGGGGAAGTTAAGTTCTGTGAAAGTGGGTTAGGTCTTGTAAGGTAAAGTTCGGTTAGGTTAGGTTACAGTAAATAACACGAAGAAATTTAAAGAGTCGAAAAAGAAAAAATTTACCGAGCTTTTAAACGATCTTGACAACGATATATGGGGCAAGGGATTCAAAATCGCAAAAAACCGTTTAAAAAATCCCAAGTCACATGATGAGTGCTCCTTATCTGAGGACGAGTTACTTAGTGAAATCACCAAACTTTTTCCAGACCATGGCGACGTGACATGGAACGAAACCATTGTTAATAATGATGAAATCCCTGCAATATCTCACGAAGAGATGAGAACTGCAATGAGTAAACTCAAAAATGGAAAGGCTCCTGGTCCTGATAACTTCATACCTTTAATCACTAAAATTTTCATAGACACGAACCTAAAGAAATTTACTGTCATGTGTAACACTCTACTTAGGGAGGGCTGTTTTCCTAGAGCTTGGAAGGAGGCCAAGTTGATACTTTTTCCAAAGATTAAACCAGGTAATCCTATTAAATCCTACAGACCTATATGTTTAATTAATACACTTGCCAAAATCTTCGAACGAATTATTGCCAATAGATTGGAAAAATCCTTCAATTTTGATGTAAGACAACACGGATTCAGAAAAGGCAAATCTACCCTGACGGCTATGGAATCAGTTAAAAGAATCTATGATTATCACATGCGTAAATCAAGAGGTAAAAGAGGATTACTATGCTTGGTCTCCTTGGACATAAAAAATGCTTTTAATAGCATAAACTGGATTGATTTTATCTCTACTCTTTGTAAAAGAAATGTACCATCATATCTCGTTAGAATATTAAAATCATATCTCTCTGATAGGTTTCTGGTCTTTCCAAATTTCAAAATTAAACTCAATTCAGGTGGTGCTCAGGGTAGTATCCTGGGCCCTCTCATATTCTTAATTATCTTTGATGAAATTGTTAGAATTAGATTTAACCAAGGAACTGATAAAAATGTGTACGCACATGATACGCTTCTGGCCTTTGAAGTAGAAGATAGGAAAGCTCTTCTCTCCGAAACAGAGAAAACATCAAAAAAATTAAAAAGGAATCTTAGAAAGAAAGAACTATTCATGGAAGAAAGCAAAACAGAAGCTATCATTTTAGACGGTAGAAAAGAAGATACTAAAGCCAAAATTAAAATTGACGAGACTTTGATCGAATCGAGCAAGATTATGAAATATCTTGGCTTTTTTATTACAAAAAATTTAAACTTCTATAAACATTTAGAATTAACTTGCCAGAAACTTAATAAAACCGCTAGTCATTATCGACAAATTCTTCCCAACACTTTCGGCCCTTCTTTCTACAAACGCAAAATTATTTTTCAAGCATTGCTCTCTATAATCTTTTATGGAATTACAATCTGGATCACAGCCCTTCAATGGAAAAAGACCACTAAGCTATTAGAAACTTCTATTCGTCCTCTTAAAAGGACTCTGATTTGTGGATATAAGTCGGTATCTAACTTTGCTCAAGATGTCATCTCTGGGGTACCCCCAATTGATTTGTTGATTGAATTAAAATTCAGAATTGCCAAGAAAGAGGATAGATTAGTAGTTGATTCAGATATTAGAAAGAAGTGGAGAGCAAGATGGAAAGATGAAACTGGAAACAAATGGATCAAAACAGTCATTAAGGATTTAGATGCCTGGTTGGATAGAGACCACGGATTTCCGGATTTCTACGTTACACAATTTATTTCAGGTCATGGTTCCTTTGGCTATTATTTGGAAAAAAGAAAAATCATTGATTCACCCCTATGTTTTTGTGGCCAAATTGACACCCCTGCACATGCATTTTTTGACTGTTTTGTAAATAAGGACAACTTAAAGAAATTAGAAAACGAAGTTAATAATAAGATCACAAAAGATAATTTATTAGATGTAATGTTGACAAATAAGGAATTTTGGCATAAAGGATATAATTATATAAAAAATATTTTAGATAATAAGAATAAATATTATAAAGATAAGACTAACAATGTACAAATATGTAAACCTCTCCCCGATGTAGTGTCTTCCGACGGTCCCGGGGCCTCTTCCTCGGGACTTCCGTAAACGCCTCTATTTTATGTGTGATTTATATATCTGTAATGTAAACTTAATTAATACTTAGACTCTTTTTTATACATCTCCAACCTGGGCGATGGATATATCCTTGATATTTGCCGTCCTTTTATCGTATATCAAGTAATTAAGTTGTTATTTATATGCCTAAATATCTATAACAATACTTATCTTATGTTATATACTTATCTTATGTAATATATGTAATATTTAAATACGATAATAAAGATAGAAAGAAAAAAAAAAAAGAAAAGAAAAGAAAAAAAAACACGAAGAAATACAAGACTTGAAATTTGAAAGATGTTAAAGAGGGAAGTTTTAAGTTTCATTGACGCCGTGATCGTTGACACTGTGATCATCTTTTATAGGAGTCAGAATTTCTTATTTTTGGATGATCATAATGTTAACAAAAACTTAGAATAACTGTTTGTTGACACCATGATCGTTGACACCAGCACTTGATTTTAAAAGTTTTCTCCCATGCAAAACTAACAAGTATGTGTTCCTTTTTAAACGGTTATTCAGGCATGTCAAATGAGGCCCTCCTGTCACCTTTGGTTGATGAATTCGATGATGTAGTTTCTGCTCCTTCTTCTCCCAAACATAAAACCCCATCACCACATCAAATTGAAAAGAGTAAGTCCTTGCTTAGTTGATAACTACCTTATCTTTTTAGTGCCTTAATTTTATCCTATTATTTATGTTAGGTTGGAACTTAGATCACTCAACAAACTGTAACTCATCGCCAGTCTTCAGCCCCCCCAATTTTGGGTCAACAGGTGTCATGTGGCACATCATTAAAAAGTTATTGATCTCTTCTCTCAGGAATTTATCAGATATTTAAAATCAAATAATTGTAACAAATACACTGTTCAGGTGGAATTTGCATCAAAAACGCCTCGTAACTCTAAAACATGGGGGTTTGGGGAAAAAGTGCATGACACTAATAGTTCTTATTTTTCGCCATAAAATTCGAATCCGAAGTCAAATCATACTCTCCCCATTCAAAATANGGGGGGGGGGGGGGGGGGGGGGGGAGGGGGGAAAGAGATTAACTGAGGACTGCCAGTATCTTCATTGAATTCTTTTGGGTTCATTTACCCCTGAAAGTTTTTGTCCTGCAGCTCAATTTTCGACTGTTTCCGAGAAAAATATTGTGGACAGGTGCTCCTGTACACTCGGTATAAAGCAGCCTTACCCACTCTCTCAGCCTCCCCCCCCCCCCCCCCCCCNAACACACACGCTCCTGAAAAAAATTGGCTGAGCAGATTTCTCCAAACTTAGCACACGCCTCGCTACGGTCGAGAGGAGTAGAAAATTAAATTATGGAGTCTCAAAAAGGTTGTTGAGGATGTCCTTAATAGCGCTAAGTTGTTTTCCTTTTAAGGCTTGGCGGGCAGTAGGAAATAAGGGGTCATCAGGCAAACAATCTCAACTCAGAGAAAAATGAATATTTAAAACTTTGCAGGTATCCTACTTGAGGTATAAGTTAGACTTTTTAAAAAATCCATGCTTTACAATCTCCGTTCTCAACCACGAAGTGGTGGCCAAAATTTAAAATGACGGCTTTCTTGAAAACCACGAGTTCATTCTCCCTCATTTTGAAATCGTAATGCCGCAAGCACAATGATAATGTAATTTTGCTCCTTAAACATGATAAATTGATTTTTCAAAAATCAAGATCTTTGGTATTTCTTGGGATAAGTGAAACGTATTATTCATGGACAGAAACGCCAAATCCTTAAGAAGTCAGTCGTGAACATGTTTTCGCGAAAAATCGACTGAATTCGAAAAAAATTAGATGGTTTCGATTTCTCGTGTTCTTCCATAAAGAATGAAAAAGCGGTCTGGTGTCTGATTGGCTGAAAAAAAAGCGCGAGACGTTTGTGGTCACGCACTTTCCCAATTCAGTGCAGACTCTTATTCTCTCTTTAATTTCAGCATTGATTTAGCGCCATTGACACCCATTTCTATGGGTGCCCATTTCTGCCCTTCTCTCTCTTTTCCATTGCAGCTTCAACTAGATTACCTTCAGTATGTTATCTACGCACTTTTAGTTCACATAGATTTTTTTATCCTTAAAAGGAGGTGGAGCTTTTTGTCTTGCGTGAATAGAAATCTCCTTTTATAAAGGATTTCATTTCAATCATCTTTGTCACTAAAAATGTCCATTTTTTTATCCTTAAGAGGGGGTGGAGGAGCTATGCTGAACTCTCATCAGAGATTGTGAGGAGCTTTTTGTCTTGTGTGAATAGAAATCTCCTTATACAGGGTGGCCCAGACCTACCGTACCAGGCCTTTTTTTCGGTTAATATGGGACTCTGAACTTTTAAATTTGCCCAGTATGGAGGTTACCCCAGTGCCCCATCACAAAAGTCTCTGAGGACAACGGGACCCTCAAATTTGGATTCCTTGGGGTCGATTACCCATGAATACACATTTTTTCCGAGTCTCCACGTCAATTTTACGAACTTGAATTTTTTTGAAAGGGGGCTCTGTCCCCCACCTTTAGGAGTCGGTATTTTGGAAACTGACGGGCCGATTTTGGATTTCTTGGTGTCAATTTAAGTTAAAAATTTCCGTACGTTCTGATTTCGATGAAATAATTTCAAAATTTTGACATAAACCCTGACTTTTGAAGTATGGACCCCCCCTTTATCCCCCAAGGGTCGCCAGGGGGGATCTGGGACCATGAAATTCAGATTTCTTGGGGTCAATTCCCTATTCAACTCCGCGATCCTGGACTTCGTGCGACCCATATTAACCGAAAAAAAGGCCTGGTACGGTAGGTCTGGGCCACCCTGTATAAAGGATTTCATTTCAATCATCGTGTTTGTCTACGTATTTTTCATATTGTTTGGAACAGGAATTACTCATTGTCATATCCTTCATCATTCATGGGAAACCACAGTGAGCTTGTTCAGTAATGTTTAATTCCTGCATTTCTGAAAACTAGAGAGTGCACAGAATTCGCATGAATTTTCCCCAATTTTTTGGAACAATATTGACTCCCGGAAAACAAGCTCAAAGTTGCTTATTTTGAGCTCCCATGTAATCGCGCGTCGGCGGGTCACCAAAAATGTCCACACTCGAGGTACCCACTGCAGCGTCATATTGTCCGCACGCGATACGGCGCTATGTCCTATAAGCCCTTAGCACACGATCAATATGAGCTATCAATATGGCAAGGTCATAATGCGCGCACAGCTTGTACGACCAATCACAGCTCTTCGAGGCATATATAGAGGATATAGAGCGGCGCCGCTCTATATTGATGAGATATTGATAGCTCATATTGATCGTGTGATTACCCCTATAGTCCACGTGCGGGCTACAGGACGCTGCAGAGTTAACTCAACGAGGGTGGCCATTCTCCAACGGGCGGCCGCGGCGGCCATTTTTAGTGACCCAACGACGCACTTTCAAATAGGAGTTCAAAATACGCAACTTTGAGCTTATTTTTCGTGGGTTAATATTATTAAAAAAAATCTGGAGAACTTCCTTAGAACTGTTCGCATTCTCTAGTTTCCAGAAATGCTGGCATTAAACATTACTAAACAAGCTCATTATGGGACCTATTATAAACATGATACAATCTGAGAATCAGCTCATTGGATTTTAAATTTAATTTGATCAGTTTTTCTCAGCAGGAAGTGGCCTCCATTTTTTCTTTAATCCAATTCCTTTATTTCTTTTGAATACAAATAATTGTTTTTATTTTCAGATGTTTCATCATGCCCAAAAATTAACTCAAAGATTTCTAAACAGCCTCGCTCTATTCTAATACCTGTCAATTTACCAGGGGTGAAAACTATTAAGGTGAGCAGCACCAAATTATTTTAATGGGGAATTAGACAGGGTTTTTATTTTTACCTTTGAACGTTTATCACATAATTTTGGGGGCCTGAAAATCCTCCTCTTAGACCTAGAATACTCAATATTGCAGTCATCTTGTGGGAAAGTACACAATCACTGTCAAAAATTAAAGTTCTTTTGGTGACGGATCATGAGTTTTGAATATGATGTGAGGGATACCAAGATACGTTACATACTGGAGTACAATATACCGTTGCCTTTGTGACTGAGTTCAAAATCGAAATTACCTAATTTTTCAGCCGAAAATGGTTCAAAATCCTTGTTTTTCGCAGTTCTACCTCAAATTTCGACTCATGCTTAATGGTAATGTGTCATGAGTTTCGAATATGTTGTGAGGGGCACCTAGAGACGTAACTTACGAGAATATGATCAACTGTCACCGTTAGGCCCAAGTTCAGATGTCGAACTTTACTAACTTAGCAGCCCAAAATGGCTGAAAATTCATGTTTTCCACGGTTCTGCCTCAGCTTTCGACCTGGGCCCAAAGGTGACAGGTCATGAACTTCAATTAAGATGTGAGGAACACCTAGAAACGTAACATACGAGAATATGATCAGATCGACAACCGAGATTAGAACCGCAAAAAACATGGATTTTCAGCATTTTCGGTCTGAAAAGTTAGAAAAGTTCGACTTTTGAACTTGGGTCTAAAGGCGACAGTTGATCATATTCTAATGTATCACGTCTCTAGGTGCCTCTCTCAACATATTCGAAGCTCATGGCGCGTCACCTTAGGGCCCAGGTTGAAATCTGAGGCAGAACTGCAGAAAACAAGGATTTTCAACCATTTTGGGCCAAAAAATCAGAAAAGTTCGATTTTGAACTTGCACCCAAAGGTGACGGTTGATCATATTCTAGTTTGTTACTTGTCTATGACTAGGTGTCTCTCACATCATATTTGGAGCTCATGATTCTAGGTGATGTAGGACAAAGATCCGCCTCTTTGTTGCACTGCTACCTAGTTTGTGCCTTTGAGAAGCAATAATTATCATAATCTGTAAATCAATTAAAGAAGCTGATTCATAACGAGTAGCAGCAATAACACTGAGAAGGATGTGCCTTTGAGAAGCAATAATTATCATAATCTGTAAATCAATTAAAGAAGCTGATTCATAACGAGTAGCAGCAATAACACTGAGAAGGATGACGGCAAATTTGTGTAGATTCATTGAAAACACAGCCCTGCTCATTTTTGGTCATGTCATATTGCAGGAAGTTCCTTGATTGATTTCTTTATATTTTCAGCGTCAAAATTTCGGGAAATGTGTCAAAAAAATTCCATCACCTCAGGATTTTTTGCAAATTTGAAATTTTGGTTTTTTAGGGGTGGAAAAACATGGAAAAATGTATTATTAAATTTAAACACGTAGCGCCCATAAGTCAAAATGGGTCAGTTGCGTTGGTCATAGAATCATGCTTTGAGGCTTGATTCTTGTAGATCAGCTAAAAATGTTAAGATGTGTTCAAACCGCAACTTTCTACGTTGAATATTAACAGAGATGTCATCCATTGGAGAGTCGAGTTTTTGATGTCATCCACTGCGATGGTAACACCTTTGGTTTCTTCCACCTTGTTTTCATCAGTCGGTGTGATGCGCATTAGCACTGGTTATTCAACATGAAACCTGGATGAAAGCAAAGTGAAAGAACCAATGGTGTCACTACCGCAGTGGATCATGTCAAAAACCTGACTTTTCAAAGGGCGATATCTCATTTAATACTGAACGTAGAAAGTCGCGGTTTGGACGGATCTTATAATTTTTGGCTCATCTACAAGAATTAACTATCAAAACATAATTCTGTGACCAGCGCATCTGACCCATTTTCCCATTTTTAGGTGATTTTTACCCTTCAAACCTTTGGCTCGTGGCCAAAATATCTAATATTAAGTTTTCTAGAAAATTTTCTGTCCCTGATCTTCTCTTTTTTGGATGCCCACAAGTCACCTGAAAAGTATACAGGAAGTTCTTAATCACTGGAAAGGGTGAAGGGGGGGCAGACACCTTGAGAGCTCTAAGATTCATTAGCTTGTTCCAAAATATTCTCACAGGTTCCAATTTTTGTGATGTACAAACATCTTCTGGACACTCTTGACACATGTTGACAGATCGTAACTTGTCTAATATGCAGACACAGGTTCATTGGGGTTCTCATCCGATTCTCAGTGCTGAAACAGCAGACTACGCGGTCAGTTGGTTTATTGCCCATGATTTAGTTACTTTTTTCAATTTCTGTCAGTTTTGCAAAATAGCTTCCAGATGCTGCAAACTGTAACCAGATTTTGTATGATATATTTGTTGTGAGTCGATGGTGCAACATCAGCAACGTAATTTGACCCCAGGCGGTAACCCGGCGGGTCACTTTTTAGATACATAACTTATTGTTTTTGTACACGAGGACCCGACCATCCGATGTAAAAAAAGAGGATAGAAATTACTGCGTATTCTACCTAGCCACTTTGGATCGAGGATTTATCGAAAAAGTGACACCGAGGCGCACACCGAGCTCGGAACTCATCAACCAGAACATGGCGCCAGCTCTTCCACTTACACTACGACTTTAAGTAACCCATGATTTTATCTAGTAGGGGTGTGAGTGACTAAAACACGCGTTTAAATTGAATATATTATTTTATTCTTGTTTTTTGGACATTTTATATTAAAACCAAAATTTTAAATTAGCAAAAAATCTTGATGTGATGAAATTTTTTAGACATTTTTCCCCAATTCAGCGCTTAAAAATACATAGGGATCAATCAAGAAACTTTCCGAAATATCACATGACCAAAAATTTGCATGGCTCTGAAATTTATGTAAAATATTATGAAAACCAATGTCCCTCATTGACTAATCGTGGAAGAGGGAGATAGAGTTACAGGTATCCTTCTCTTACAATGAGTCAATGAGCCTGCTTGAGTCCATGAGCTACGTCTGTTTTCGTAATTTTTGATTTAAATTTTCCTTGAATCCTCATTAATTTGATGTCATACTTCTTGGTGTTAAGGCTGGTACGTGTTATGGCTCAGTTTCTTCCATTAATTTGTAGATTGAAATAATTATTGCTTCTCAAAAGCACAGACTGTGCCTGTAGCAGTGCAAAGTGGTGGTGGATCTCTGCCCCAGATCATACAGAATCACTCTAAGGAGGTTTAAGATCCTTAGAAAGGCAGGGCATCATTATTGTTACGCCACTTTTGTTTAAGAATATCACTGCTTGAAATCGTTTGGAGGTGCATGAAACACAGTTGCTCTATTTTAGTTGAAGCCTACTAAAACAATCAGTCATAATTGGAGCTGTAGTGATTTTCGTGTGCAATTCAAAAAACTTGACCTGACTTTTCAGGTAGTGAATGCGAGTGGTAGGCCGTTAAACAGCGAGGCCCTTGGCAGAGTAACAAATGCTGGGAGGATCCTCACATCAAATAGTAATGGGTCACACACGTACCCTAAACTTCAGTTAACAGGTATGCATTTATCTTGACAGTCGATTTTGTTTGTCGTTTTTTCCTTCGCGTAAGCATAACAAGTAAGCTACAAATATAAATATTTGTCACCCAAAATACAATGATATCACACCAAGCAGACGCCAAGTGAACATTTATATAAATTTAAAGTTTCTCCTCAACATTATTACCGGGAAAACACAAAACATATACAAAAAAACAATGCATAAAAATCGATACAAATTTATCATTTTTTTTTTTATTCCAATAAAATAACTACTTTTTGCCTCGAAAATATAGACGTTTTAGTGTTTGGCAAAAAGATAGAGTACAAATCGAGGTAATATGTCACTTTTGTTTCACATCTGCATGTCAAAGAGAATTCGGGGTATGGCCGTTTCTGTGAAGGTCCATTTTGTTAAAATTCAGTGAAAAACCTAACGGCTATAAGACCGCCACAATGGGTCACTAAACCTTGTTTATTTTATTAAATATTCTGAAAGAACTATGTGAGGAGATAACGTGGTGATTTTTCCGCATTTTCATGGAGCCAAAATCACGGAGAAAACTGCTTTTGAAAAATCTAAAAACTGCAAGACATTTCAAATGCACCCGAATGGCGGGAAACTAATGCGGTTGATGTACTGCAGTAGTCATATCGCAATCTTCTCTCATTTTCCTCTGATGTTTGTTAAAATAAAACGTATTTCAATGTGGAGTTGTTGCTTGTTTATTACAGCTAACATATGAATGAGATTCTAGTCTTGAATTCAAAAGATATAATTTCGACTTTAGTATTGTTCTCATATAGGAAGAGTAGATAGACATTTGACGGACGTCGTGGAAACCCGTGCCCGCCTCTGATTGGTGCCGGATGACATCATTCGGTGCGGCGCGAAACCGGGGCGTTTTAAATTTGCGTATAAGTTGAGCGATTTGAACTGCGCATTTCTCGGTAATTGAGTTACTTGTTAGCGTTTTTAATGTTCGCATCGTGTTATACGCGTCATTTTCCTTCAGAAAACTATATTCGCAAGTCAAAATTCGTTCATAGTTTAGTGAACCATTATCAGGTTGGTCACAAAATTTGGAAAAATGGTTTTTGTGCCCTGAATAGATAGATGAATAAATGACAAAAATATGAAAGAATAAATTTGGAGTTGATCGAGAAACAGTTCCTGGATGGTCTTGCATGGAATGTCCCGTCTGCGGTATGAGACATATTTTTCAGTATTTTCGCCACCTTCAAAGCCCTCCTGCGGCTGAACACTCCTTTCTCCGAAAGGATATTTAATGCCAACCTTCTAACTGAAATTTCATTTGTGGACGTGTCAACAGCTGAAGAAAAAAGACTTATGGAAAAAGAAGGCATTGCTCTACCCACCCACTATCCGTTAACAAAACAAGAAGAACGAGAATTGAAGAGAATTCGACGGAAAATAAGGAACAAAATTTCTGCGCAGGATTCCAGGAAGCGCAAGAAGGAATATGTCGATGCCCTTGAAGAAAGGTAAAGACTCAGTATCTTCTATCATTAATTTCAATCTTAATCTTAATTTTGCTTAGTAATATATGATTCTGAAAATGAAATCTATGTTTGTCGATAAATTCTTAACGGTAGCTCCGATTTTGATGGGGTTTTTTGCCACTTGACCTTTTGTTGCGTCTCAAGAATTATAACTCGAACACCCGCCCGTGATCTGTTCACCTGTAAATTGTTGCAAGAGTTCCCGCGGAACTGCATTGTACTTCCGCGGTTTTTCGCGCGGCTGCGTGGTCGACAAGGACAATATTCGAATCGGTATTAATCAAGATTTGGCCAAAATCATTTTTAACCTAATATCTAATGATAAAATACTGATAAAAATATCTAATAACATAACTTTAAAACATGGGGTCCTAGGATTAGTCCAAAAGGCTTCACTCAAGGACGAATTCTGTCCGCTTGGCGTCGCGAAAACAAAAAAGTGGCAAATTGATGCCTGCTCCTCTCAGAGTAGCAAGTTCGAGTGCTACTGAAGGTTCCAGGATACTTGGAAACAATGAAATTTTGAATGATGCTGAATAATGAATTGAAACTTATTTCTAGGAGTATATAAAAGGAATGGGTGGTTAAATAATATCGAAAAAATGAGAAGACCTTCAAGAGTGAAGGGGGGGGGGGTAAAAATGTGTGCTACAAAATTTCCTAAAATTGTTCTAAGTCTGTTCGATTGGGATCGAACATACTCCGAGGGTTGAACCAACGTAAGTTCGTTCGAAATCAAATGTCGTCCCATGCAATGTTGTTAAAACTGCGTGAAGCTATTATGCATTCCACATGTGTGTGAAGTAAATCGCCACATAGGTGGGGTGGGTTTTGGGTGGGAAAATTAATAGGAGATATCAAAATATTATTTACATTGTTGCATTTTTCGGGCATATGCATGCCGCTAAGACAGCGCTCACAAAGTTTACGGGCTTTTACAAGCTCGAACCTTTGAACAAATGGCATGTCTCTAAATTTTAAGTACCTATAAAGCGGGTGAGGTTCTGAGCACAGCATGCAAGGGGCAGGACTGCGCTGTCTTTGTCCAGAAGAGTTCTCAGACTTATCGTCCTTTGTGCTGGTGACCAGAGCCTTGATTGAATTTTTATTTGACGAATTATTCGGAGCATTTTTATTTGAAGTTGATTGAGCATCTTTATTCTCCTTTCTTGATGTTACTAGATCGTCAGCGTATGCAGCCTCTTTCTCCAGGAAGGAAATAATATCCTCCAACTTTGGATAGTCCTTGTTGCTGCGGCGGTGATCCTCTAATCGTTGCCACAGTATTAGTGATATTTTTCTGGAAAGAATGGTGACAAGCACACCGTCGAAGGTGGCTGTAGCGTGATCCAAAGCATTCAGAGCCTGAGGATGCTCTCGCACTTTGGCGAGCAAAGAATGTACTTGCTTATTTTCTTCAATTTCCGGGAGATCTAGCAACCCTGCAAAATGAAAGAAAATATGCCCTCTGGTGGACTGATACCTCTTGCAAAGTAGATTCCAAGCCACCGTATAATTTTCGGTGGTTATATCAAGGCTCTTAATTAGATCGAGGGCTTCACCGTGCAGGTTACCTAAGAGATATTGAAATTTTTCAACTTCTTTTAGATGAGGTGAATTATGTACAGATGCCAGGAATAAATTGTAATATGTTCGCCAATTTTCAATTTGACCTGAAAAGTGGGTTAACTCTAATTTTGGCAAGCGAATTTTTGGGTTAAAACCGCTGAAGGCTGTGTTTAACATTGTCTGATTGATCATCGTCTGAAATTCAGGGGCATCTTGTTGTTTAGAAGTATCATTTCTTTTTGATCGCTTGAGATATTCAGTTAGAGCTTCCCGCGTAAGTTGCTCAGATTCGACTTGAATTCTATCTGCTTCTAACGGTGAATCGGGGTGAGCAACCGAAAACTCGATAGCTTCATCCATTAGCGTTTCGAAACGCTCGCAATACTTTTCCAGCCTTTTGAATGAAGGAGAGAAGGCTCCTATGTCATCCTCGTCCGGCACCTGCCGGAAAGCATCGCGTGTGTTCTGGGCGAGTTTGCAGAGGTTTGCCAATTTGGCAAGCATGGATAGCCCCTGCAAATCCCCTGCATTTGCATTGTCGTTGTGGTTCTGATCATCATGTTGGTCATTGTTATCATGATTATCATGGTTCAGATGAGCCTCATTATTTTCTTCGTCGGACGACATTTCAAATAAGGAAGAGAAAATGAAAGGTTATGAATAAGAGGTTAAATAATTCGAGATAAAGAGCAAACGTTATTTTAGGAATGTCAATCTGAATTATACCTGGTTTGACTACTAAAGCGCAACTGTACTAGGATTTTTCGAAAGTTCAGAACCTGGTATACTTTACGGTCGTAAAGCTTCGTCAGGATTTTCTAAGGTTAAGGACCTAGTTCAACATAGATATTTTGCTGCTGCACTAATTTGAAATGAAGGCTGTGACAGGTTAATTAAGTGCAAGGTAAGTGAAACGAAGGTATGCTCGTCCCGACCCTTTCGGCCAAAACTCGGGTTTCGGCTCTCGCCGGCAGAGCTGTGGCGCGCGATTTGAATGTCAACATTTTTGCATCCTGGCCGAAAACAAACATGGCAGCTGCTCTGCTGTGAGAGGTCGGTGTCTCGACGTAAACAAACATTGTATGAAAACTGAAAAGCTTTTGTGTTATTTATCAAAATTGATTTCTCCTCTCTTCTGATTTCTTTTTGTTTCTGTTCTACCCTTATTCGCGAACATCTCGAATTTCATTTCAAGTTTAATTCGGCTTCTATTACGTTTAACTCTCCTATAAATCGCTCTGTTCCGAAGTGCAAGTGACTGATACCTCAAAGATTGTTGCCTCTGTCTACCCGGCAATAACATCCAAGAATCATTTTGTTCTAAATTATTCTTCGCGTATTTTACTTCGGGATACAGATTTATTGTCACTCAAGATCGGAAATAATGATTAGCTCCAATATTTTTGAATATCAGTCAGTATCGAATATTTCTGTGAAAGAAGTCCAGGATGTAATCAGCAGTCGAGAAACACCCTGGGACAAAAATGTTTTGGCTTTGATATGTACTTATAATTCTATACCTTTACTTTGCATTTACAATTCTCAGTACCTTCTTCATCATCAGGTAAATTTAAGTGATCACAGACATACGCCAAGATGAAAAGAGAGCTACCTCCAAAGAGAGGCACTTTTAAGTTTTAGTACCTACTTAAAGGCAGTAGTTTTAAGTGTTGAAAATTAGAAACTGAGTTTTGCTTTTTATTATTTCTCAGTTACTTATAGGAGTTTTTCACATCATCTTCAAGTCATTTCTGCTTGGCATGATCAATCCTGGCGATTGATCAAAGTGGCCCAGTGAAATTGTAGGGTCAGTTTGTTCTTTCCTTGAGAAATATCAACATTCGTATCTGCAATCTGAGCTAAGGACTGGATTAAAGTACCTTCCTATTATCAGCTGCTTAATGTCATGTACCCATGAAAGCGTTTATTCTAGATGTTCTCTGGTTTTTCTAAAGATCAGAATGTGTCCAAAAAGCTAATGAATGACAGTCATCTCTTAGCTAACAACAATCTGACTTTGGAAAGACTTGCTGATAATCTGTACGTTCATCTGGAAGAATTCTAGGTACATAACCACAGATGTATCAAAAGTGGATTTCTATAACTGAAAATGGGTAAGTACATAAGAAATAAACCAAATTATTCCATCGCTATTCCCATGATTTTCTCATTTCCCAGTCAACACGTTCCAATATGACACCCGTTGCGATTAAAGATTCCGACTTTGGCACATTAAAATACCAAGATATAATGTTTTAGCATAATAATGCATACATGGGGTCAAAAAAAATTCAATCCCATAAATGCGGTTTGCTCCACAAGGAAGTGAACTTCGGCAGAGAACAGATTTCATTATGTTCTTCTGGTGCCAATGCCCTAGAAAGATCAAGACCCTGTTACCCCCATAAGATTAACTCAGAATTTTGGGAGCGAATCTGATCAAATTTCAAAGAAATTTACTAGGATAAGTAAGGATTCCAATTTTTTTTCCTACCAGTTATAAAAACATATCCAACTTCAGAGTCTCGCCCTAGGTTCAACAGTTCGATGAAACCTTTTAATATTCAACATTTTCTTCTATCTAATTTAACTTTGAACTGGACGATAAAGAAATGTCTTTACTTCCAGAAAAGTTATTTAAAATTCCATGCAAGTCCTATATATTACAAAAGGCCATCCTGTACTTACTACAAAATCTCATTTTCTGAGAGCACATTACTTACTCAAGTTCTTAACAACTTTTTTGGGTGGAAAAAATGGTTACGTATATTTTTAATTGGACGTATTTCTACTAAGCGGAACTAAATGCCATCGGGTGAAGAAGGTAGAGGGGGAGTTGGATTGGCGGTGGAACCGGGCATCAAGCTTATTCCGTCCTATGCTCCCAATGCTTTTCCATGGCGCTCAGCTCCATTTAGCAGAACACGCTATCCGGGATTCTAAAATCCTCAAAAGGAACTGAAATTGGCGTTTAGTTCCGTTTCGTAGAAATACGTCCAATTTAAATTGATAATTTTTGCATAATCTTATTGCTTCAGTATGCACTGAAGTCTATAAAAAACATAATGAAGAGCAAATTCTATTTAGCACTCTTTCTATTACAGGACTATTTTGTCAAATATTTCAGCTGTAAAAAATCAAATTTCAGCTTGAATTTTAACTTGAAGATAATGAGCAAAAATATCTTACTGCATGACCACTTTTGAGGAAAGAAATTTCAAATTACTTTACTACTGGTGCTACAGCACAAATGGACTTCAGTCTCCAAGACCCAAGGCTTTAGCTGGGTTTTCATGGCAAAGGTTTTTTTACATGGTAGATTTCTACACCTACAACAACCGTCTCCCTTTTTTTGAGCTTGGGAACAATGGCATCAAAAATTCATTTTATAAGATTGTGACTGTTACATCTAT